TCCCGGGATCACAGCCAGATGTCGGAGGTGCAGTCCCCCCCCGGGTACCGCATCTCGTGCGCCAGGCAGGGCCCGCCCGGCTCCTTCCCGAAATCCACCAGGAATTTGGGATTGACGGCCAGGCCGCCCCGCTCCGTGTCCACGTCCAGCTGCAGCAGCACCGAGCCTTCCCTGGGGATGGAGGGAAAGAAAAAGGAATGGGAATGGGGAAAAAAAGGTTGGGAAAAGGGGAGGGAGGAGTTGGGAAAATGGTTTGGGATTGGGATAAATGTTTGGGGATGGGAAACGGGATTTGGGAGAAGGGATTTGGGATTGGGAAAGGATTTGGGAAGAGATTGGGGAAAAGAGTTTGGGATTGGGAGAAGGGATGTGGGATTGGGAGAAGGGATTTGGGATTGGGAAAGGATTTGGGAAGAGATTGGGGAAAAGAGTTTGGGATTGGGAGAAGAGATCTGGGATTGGGAGAAGGGTTTGAAGGATTTGGGATTGGGAAAGGATTTGGGAAAACAGTTTGGAATTGGAAGAAGGGGTTTAGGATTGGGAGAAGGGTTTGGGATTGGGATAAATGTTTGGGGCTTGGAAAGGATTTGGGAAAAGGGTTTGGGATTGGGAAAGGAATTGGGAAGAGATTTGGGAAAAGAGTTTGGGATTGGGATAAATGTTTGGGGCTGGGAAACAGGATTTGGGAAAAGAGTTTGGGATTGGGAGAAGGGATTTGGGATTGGGAGAAGGGTTTGAAGGATTTGGGATTGGGAAAGGATTTGGGAAAAGAGTTTGGGATTGGAAGAAGGGGTTTAGGATTGGGAAAAGGGTTTGAAGGGATTTGGATTGGGGAAGGATTTGGGAAAAAGGTTTGGGATTGGGAGAAGGGATTTGGGATTGGGAGAAGGGATTGAAGGGTTTGGGATTGGGAGAAGGGATTGAAGGGTTTGGGATTGGGAGAAGGGATTTGGGATTGGGAGAAGGGATTGAAGGGTTTGGGATTGGGAAAGGATTTGGGAAAGGATTTGGGAAAAGGGTTTGGGATTGGGAAAAGAGGTTGGGAAAATGGCTTGGGAAAAGGGGTTGGGATTGGGAGAAGGGATTTTGGAATGGGAAAGTTACTAGTATAGCACTTACAAGATGTTATTAGTATATTAATGATTATTGATTAATTGTTATTAATGATTAATGATTAATTATTAATGGCGTGGGCGCTGACCTGAGGAGCTCGGGGTAGAAGAGCCGGTCCCAGGCGCTGTACAGGGAGGTGCTCACGTAGAGCCGCCGCCCGTCCAGGCTCAGCTGCAGCATCTGCGGCCCCCCCGGCACCTTCCTGCCCTGTGGGAATAATTCCACAGGGAAATAAATCATCCCACATGGAAAATCCCAGATGGAAAATCCCACCAGGGCTGTGTCTGGCCAGGGGGGACGGAGCCGATCCCAATGCGGGATTTGGGAAGGATCTCAGGGAAGGACGGAGACAATCCCAAAGCAGGATTTGGGAAGGATGGAGCCGATCGCAAGGGGGGATTTGGGAAGGATGGAGACGATCCGAAAGCAGGATTTGGGAAGGATCCAGGGAAGGATGGAGCCGATCCCAAGGTGGGATTTGGGAAGGATCCAGGGAAGGATGGAGCCGATCCCAA